TCCGTGCTGTCCAATCCAGCTCACTGTTTTTTACAGAAGCCCTGTGAAAGCATCACAGCTTTGCAGATCTCAGAGTGTTAAAAGAAAAAGAATTCCTGTATCCACATCGTGATCCAGAACATCACCAACATTTAAAGGTGTGTTCCTTGGCACAGTACACACGTGGTAAAAAATGTCATGACAATCTGTCCACAAGTTTTTGAGTAATGTTGTCCAACGACAGAACAACAGACAGACCTATGCGACCGAAAACATTACCTCGCCCTTGGCGGAGGTAATAAAGAATACAGAAATACTACTAAAAGTAAAAGTAAGTTTTGCTAATTTTTACTCAGTGATTTTATTTTTAATACATAAGTACATTTTCAGTCAGAAATGTACTTTTGATATTTAAGTACAGTAAATTTTAGATACTTTAGGAGTTTTACCCAAGCAATATTCTTAGAGGAGACTTTAACTTTTATCAATGTAATTTCACAATAAGATACTTGTACTTTTACTTAAGTATCACTTTGAGGTACTTTAAACAACACTGGTTTTACTCACTGCTGAGCTGTGAGGAGTAGCTGAACTCTCCCACTTTATGACAGGGAATTCCCACTGGAGGGGCGTTCCAGTTTAAAATTTACGGCTTTTYTGTGGGAAATTCCCACTTCCCAGTACAACTGGGCCGCAGCAAAAGTAGCCGACAAAAATCCATCGAAACTTAGATTTTACACGGCAAATTTAGTCGACTACTTTTGAACCCCGTGCACCTCGTCTTGAATTTGGAACTCTCCCACTTTATGACTGGGAATTCCCACTTTTAAGTGAGAAATCCCCACTTCCCAGTACAACTGGGCTACATCAAAAGTAGCCAGTGAAAATATAAAGTTTACAATAAATTTTGCTGGCTACTTTTGAACCTCATGCAGCGCCACCTGGTGGTGGGATGCTGTTCATTTCGCAGGTAAAATAATCAACATGCATTAGGGGGGATGTAGTTTATGGTCAATTTAATGCTGGCTTTAAAGTAGCTTATTTTGAGACGTTCATACAGGACTGTTTAAATTACTCAGAGGCAGGACACATATTATCTTTCACCTTTTAAATTTGTTTATTTCGTTGCACTGAATCATACTTTTAAAGTTTATATTGGCTGGCTGGGGGTGGGGCCTGGAGTTTGACACATGTGCACTAAAGATTAAAAATAGACCTGAATACACTTTTCTATTTATGCTTTATAATTTTGATTTGCGGTCTTGGAAGTGTGAGGTCAAGCTCACTCTTTCCATGAGTGCACAGGTCTTTRTTTACACACTTTCCCTCTTCGTGTCACAGCAGTACTCCTGAGGACAGGATATGCAGCTGTGGTGGAGATAAAGTCTGGCAGATCACTTCCTGTTGAAGACAGATGCTCACACTCCAGCAGTTAGAGTATGAGACATCYACTTTTTCCTTTTTTTYKTTTACTTTTTACACAATACACTCTGTGTAAACTGTGTACACTGCTGTCTTTTCTATAAACACGTAAAAGGAAAAAAGCCCCGGTTTGTTTACCTTTTTGGAGCAGAGCGCTGCGATCTTTAAGCGTTTGCTRCACAGAGAYGATTTCMTTCACACAAAAGACAATATGTGCTTTGAAACTATTTCTGCCTACATAAAACAAACTCTATACTGTAATTAAACCAGGCTCAGATTACAGGTTTGTACTGACTTGTTCCTCAGAGACTAATGCCTATATTGGAGGTACGGGGAGTCGTGTTTTCTCAAGCTGGATTTGGAACCTCCCCAAAGTTATAAAGCCTCCAGTCATAAAAAAATAGAAGGGAATATATGACCAGGTGTTTTCAGTTGGAGGTAAATGGAGGGGCGGGGGTGATAGTAAATCCTCCTGCTTCCGCTTTGCTGAAAAGGCTCGTTATTCCCGACGCCGTAACTCAGAGAGCTGTGCTGCTGACACAGTGGAACAACACCGGAGCTGCTGGGAGCTTCACCCYGATGACTGGTCCTCCACTTTCACTTTAGAAGTGTTTTTCTCTTCAGACAATTGGAAAAAATATAAACAAACAGATGCAGTCCAATGAGAGGTTCTGCCTTATGGGAGTTTATTATTTATTCATATTATCTCATTATATATAAGTTGGTGTTGAGGATGAGAATAGGCCAAAAAAAATCTGAGGAAACAACCAAATTTACTTAACAAGMTGCTGCATTTTATTTCTGCACAGTAACTTATTTTTATCTTATTTTATGTTTATAGACTTGTACAGTAATTTTATTTTAATTTTTTTATATTGTTTTGTGGACTGATGTATCTGCTGCTGCAACACCTGAATTTCCCCTCTGGGGAGAATAAAGGCTCTTTCTTTTCTTTTCTATTTTACTTTATTCATTACAAGGTGAACAGTGACACCTTGTGGCAAAACAACGTAACATCACGCTACCAGAAAACATTTATAACCTTAATAAAAATGTATTTTTCCCAGCTTTTAGAGTTAGACAATTTTTTTTTTTTTTTGCTCGTCTGTTCTATAAACTTCAGGGCTGTGGACAGTTCACACTGGAGTTTAACTTTTATTTATTTTATTAATTTAAAGGATAGTACTCTCCATCACAGCAGAGACTATTCTTCCTGGAGGTCCACGCCAACAAAACATTGAGAAAAACAATCCAGACGATGTTAAATCTCAACTACAAAACCAGGATTTACAACTGAAAATTATTACAACATATTACTAAAAACATAATCAGCATTATGTCCAGGCTGACATTGTGAATAAGAAGTTCTTCTTTATGTTTTGCCTGGTTAAATAAATGTTAAATAAAAAAYAAAATAAAATTTATCAATAATAAAAAATGTCTCTATATAACTATTTATCTGTGTATTATCTCAGCTAGAGGCAGTGTAAAGGTAACAGAGGCTTGTATTAAAACCATGTCTATTAGAAGTGGGTAATAATAGTGAGAAAAGACCAAAAGTTAATGTAAAATTAAAATTTAATGTAAAAAAAAGAAACTTGTCTTTGACCTTCATCCATGGCAGTCGTTGATGTCATGGATATCAGTTCTGAAACTACAACCAAAGACTAATCCTGCAGCTTTATTATGAGCTCCCTGCAGTTTGAACAGATCTTTTATTGAAGCACAAGAACAAACAGCAGTAAGGTGACGCTAAACTAAAGACTATAATAACAATTTTCTAATTCCAGGAGACATAAATGTGCGTTATATCAAATTATTGAACTATTTCGACTCATTTTACTCACAGTGTGAACCATGATGTCAGCAGTTTATTTTCTTTAACATCAGAAAGTCACCTTTAAAAGAGACATATATCAAGTGGAACTGCAACACTTTCCTCCTTATTGTAACTTCACAAGCCCTGCCCCTTTTCTTGGGTGCGTCTCAAATCAACTCATTTTGAGGCTGTCCCTTTAAATCCAAATGACGCGCTTCACTCCCTGCCCCACCTCCAGCTTCCAGACCGGTTCATTCCAGTTTGTTGGAGGGGTTTACGACTATATAGCTGCGCAGAAATGTTTTATTTACAAATTAATTAAAAGATGTGAAAAAGAGAAGACTTGTTCATCCAGACTTACATGTTGGAGCCAGAATCTGACCCAGAACCAGAGTCTGACCCAGAACCAGAGTCTGACCCAGAACCAGAGTCWGACMCAGAACCAGAGAAGAACGAAGACCAACAATTTGTGTTAAGTTCAGACCTTATGTGGCAATGATGTCGCAAATAATTAATTCACAAATCATCATAGAAAATAGAGAAAACTGAACGGTTTGAAAAATATGACCCAAATAGAAAATAAAAATATCCACACAGAACCAGGAGAAACTAAATTCAGATTTTCTGCCTCCTAGAGWCTCCAAGTCCACAACAAAAAATGGATTTTGCTGTCATGTGAACGCAYATTATTAGTTTTTGTATTTCTTTGTCCTAAACAACAACTGCTCATGTTTTGTTTTATAAAGGTTTGTCAGGTATCAGGCTGTTTTACCTGGTTTAGGAGCCGTTCTCTCCTCTGGAAGAGGCGGAGTCTTCTGTGAGCTCTCTGAACTTGCAGCTGTGGAAGCCTTGGACTCCTGAAGCTCCACGGCAGCAGGACACTTTGGGACTTCCTGTTGAAGGTCTGTGATCGCAGCGCTCTTTAAATCTAACTGGCAGACTGTCGCTGGCTCTCGTGGACCGGCCTCGGGACACGCAGAGTCCATCGGTTCCCCTGCAGGGAACAGAACCCATGTTCAGAATGTGGCACAGAACTGCTCGGGGTTAGAGCCTGACTGGATCTGTGCTGCAAATATCAATCCTAAAGTTTTCACTCGTTAAAAACTAACATTTCTTCATCCATTTAAACTGATGAGTTTTAAATCCAACAAAATATTCTCACCATCTTCAAGTCCTTTTGGTATTTCCCCGCTGGAAATGAATTTATTGAACTTCTTCAGAACTTTCTTGTGGGATTTGGAAGGCTGAAATTTCAGTGCATGGCACCTGGATGTAGAAGAGAAGAAGGCCTGATGATGAAAACTATTTGTATTTATGTACATATTTAAAACAACACAAAGTAAAAACACAACATTAAAGTACCTGTGACATGTCTATTCTTCAAATACAAAAAGTCAAAGAAAGCATCTTCATACTTAAGAAACCTGGCATAGTAATGATCTTACCCATTACCTCGTCAAAGAGGTAATGGGTAATGACAGGGTACAGTATCCAAAGATTACCCTGCCKACAACGCCAATAAACTGTCGTGGCAAGTTTATCAAGAATGCAGAAACACGTTGGAATAAATACACAGAAAATCAGCGTGTATGGTCGTGAATTATTTAATTCCGGGCAACAATAAACAGAAAACAAATCATGGGAGTCTGTTGAATTGTGGCCACCATCATCAGACAGCAAACCAATGATATAACCTCATGTTAACACCATGTGACAGTTTACAACCAATCACAATCCGACTCATGTTACTATCAGCCAATGACAGGCTCTCAGCTCAAAGAGTTAACATATCGSACAAGAGAGGTCAGTCCGATGCTGGAGTCCTGACGTCTGGAAACAAACAGATTATGAGCCGAAATAAGTTATCATAAGACATGAGCAATGGACAGTGTCAATGTGAAACAGATATGAATAATTAGTCCATGACAGCCCCATAAATGACATATTTTCTTTTAAATTTGGCTCAGTCAAAGTGAAACAGGAAGTGACATCAAAGGGGAACTCATTAATAAAATAAACTCTCTGGTCTTTGTTTATTAAAACAAAATCACAGACACTTTAACCCTACATGTTGAAAGATTTTTACAGAAAAAAATGAACAAACATTTGGTAAATTTGCTGTTAAATAGCCAAAAAAGCTGAAATTAGCAGAAAAGTAGCTAAAAATAAGCTGAAAAGGCTAAATCTAAGAAGCAGGAGTAGTATGTTTGCTAAATTAAGCAGCATAAGCCGAAATAAACWCAAAAAGTTGAGTATAGCTGAAAAATGCCAAACTTAGCTGATATAGCTACAAAGTAGCTTAAATTGCAGAAAACAGCTGAAAGAATCATAAACAAGCTTAAATTAGCAGAAAGGAGCTAAAATAAAAATAAAAAGTTTAAATCAGCAAAACAGATGAAAAAAGCACAAATTAGCTGGAACAGCTCCAAAGTAGCTTAAATTAGCAGAAAGAAGCTGAGAAACAAACAAAAATGTTTGATCAGCAAAATAGCTGAAAATGAAGAAAAAAGCTAAAGTTAGCAAAAAGAAGCCGAAGAAAGCTGAAATTGGCACACAAAAAAGTAAAAAACAAAAGCAGAACAAAATTCAAAAAGTAAAAAAATATATAAAATTTTAAGGGATTTGTGGTTTTTAATGTGAATTTAAAAAATGGCCAAAAATGCTACATACCTCAAAAAGTATAAATTACTAAAGTACCAAAAATCCTAGTAAAAGATTCCTGAAGTAGCTGAACAGTTATCAAACTGTACAAAGCAAACTTGTGCTTTTTTGAAATAGCATAAAAATTGCGTAACGAGATATTTACCAAAAAAAAAAACAAGGAAAACAGATGATCTGGGCCCTCATGTATAAACGGTGAGTACGCACAAAAAAGTTGTGCGCGCCAGGTTCTACGCCCACGTTGTGATGCATCAAAACCAACGTTGCGTGAAAGTGTGCGTAAATATACGCACATTTACGCACACTTTTCACCTGCCGTGAGAATGTGTGGCAGCCACGCAAAGTTTTTCAGTCGACAGTTTTAACTCACAAAGTCATGAATCTGACCTGAATCCACAGAAATATGACTCTGTTGTGTTTTCTGGATGTAAGGAGCGTCTGAACACGCTGTTAGATTTTTATCAGTTAGATTTGTGATTCGTTTCTCATCCAAGTCATCTCCACTTTAGCATGCTTCTCCTCCCGCATACTTTGTCCTAGAGCTGCCATTGTAATTTATATCTGTAAAGCTCCTGTGCCAAATGATGGCTATGACTTTCGGTGCCTGTACAACTTATAGTTTTTAAATATTAATGTTTAATAATTTATAATGGGAGTCAATAGAGCCTTGTTTTAGTCCAGTACTGCCCCCTGCTGTATCTACTCAGTACTGAACCATAGTTTAATATTTAATCTCAATAGTTCAGTGTTTACAATACTAATAGATTGTATTTTGATGTTTTACTACAATATTGTCCAAATATTGCTTTATTGTTGTAATATTTTTCAAATTAGTGACAACCATTACATTGGCAATGTGGCCACTTTCTGCACACATACAAACCAAACCCTGGCCTCGTTCTTTACCACAGCTCTAATGGTCTCATGGTTAGTGCCATGGGCTTTCATGTAGGAGATCAGGGTTCAAAACCCAGCAAGAGCAACTTTAACAGAAAATCTCTACAAACTTCATATTGTCACACAATTACCATAATTACAAACACCTGCAGACTTGACAGGCACAAGCTGGTATAGAAAACACATTTGAACTTGGTCACAGTTCATTCTGCAAGTCCACTGCTGCAGGCAAAGCCATGCTGCAATGACATGCTACATGGCAATGCAGACTTGTTTTTACATCGTAAAAACCAATGTCTAGTTTTAGTTTGAGTTTTTAYTGTTTAAACTGAACGATGATGAAACTGAACCCCGGGACTGAAAATCATTTAACCTCAGACAAGAAAATAGATCAGTCTAAAAATGATCAAAGACCCTCAGTCCAGTCTGTAAACTGTAAAGTGTTTATATTGTTGTCACGTAGTTGGAAACACACGCAGAGTGCACACACAGCTGAGGAGAATAAAATGTGTGAAAGAAACATTTTAATTCTCACTAAGAAAAAAACGTCAACTCAGCAGATTAATTCAGAACAACTCAGCTGTGATGATTCCTCAGCTCCACAACATGCACACAATAGATTTATCGCTGCGTAAAGTTGTGCGTGTGGATCAATGTCAGCTGTAGCCTTTTGCGTCCAGCTTTGACGCGCCAGGTACACCCCGCRCGTCAGTTTTTCACGAGATGAGGCAGAGGAGGACAGGCGCGTTGTTTTATAATTTACAGATTGTCTGTAAGTTATAAGGATTTTACGTCATTTTGCAGGTATACGGACGTATAGAGCAATCTCACGGATTTTTTCAAGTCTTACGGTTATTTTAAAAACCTCATTTTCAAATTTATCTAACATGGCAGAGCCTGTAGGATGATTTAAAAAACAATAAATAACATCAAACAGCCATCTTCCAACCTGTTCTGCTGCTAGAAATAAGTTACTTTTTCCTCTCTCCTTTCCTCCTGCTTCACACCCCCTCCCCTACCCACTTTGATGCATTTTTCAAATTTCGCCTTGGGGCGGAGTTATCTTTTCACGGTGGGGGGTAAGATACACTTTAACTCCTCTTGAGGTAGAGGAGCCAAATGTCTGGCTCACTGCTGCCAACTAGTGGTCAGAGGCTGAACTACAACATAAAAATGAACATCTGGCAGGAAAGTTGACATTTTAAACCTTAATTAAAAATCGATACAGGGCTTTAGAATATCGATACAGTATCAGGAAATGAAATATCGCGATATTTCAGTGTATCGATATTTTCTTACACCCCTACTGGAAACATGAGAACATTAAATACACACTTACCTGATGGTGTACTGCGGACAGCAGGTCTTCTTCAGTATAGGCTTATACACATATTTACCACTTCTAAAACAAAAAGAAAAAGACATTAACTCAAAACACAATTCATCTTATTCCATCCATCTATTGATTCTCCTCTCTCTTTGTTCAGTTTAAAAAGCCTCACCTTCTCCACCCTCGATCGATTAGATCCTGGTAGTCTTGTACAGTCAGAGAATGAGACCACATCCCTGTGAAAAACAACACAAAACAGAGTTTGGACACCTTTAAATGGTTGTTTTTTAATATTTTATCCATTCCATCCATTTTCCACTTCTCCTTTTCTATTTTCTGGGAGCTGGCGCCCATCTGCAGGCGTCACGGAGCGAGAAGCAGAGATGGATGAGTGACGTATCGGTCGTGACACCAGCATCACCTGAACCAGTCTTCAGGATCCACTCAAGCATTAAAGACACAATGATGGCTGTGCTTTGTGTCACCGAGACGTGTTTGCTTTGTACAGGATTCACATCACTGCAACAACAGCTGCTCTGAGGCCAACAGGACACAGTCGGATTTTCACAATAACATTCATTATCGCTACAGGAAAAACAAACATCACATCTGGATGATAAGAGATACAATAACTGAGGGATAAAACTAAATGTTTGTAAGAAACTATCATGTAAAAACAGAAAAGGTAGTAAATAAGTGTTGTCATGCCTACATGACATAATAACCAGATTACAACTCCTGGATTAGATTACAGCTCGTTGATTAGATGCAGAACTGCCTAAAACCTGATTATGGTCCTCCTGATTTACTGGAACCATTTTGCTCCAAACCAGGAAAAAAAGATTGAAGTATTTTTCTTGTTTTTAAATTTAAATCAAACAAAACATTTGTAATGTAAATAGATTTATCTGTATAAYAAATTATTCTACACTTAATTATTTAAATTTGCTGTGAAAACTGAGTGCCGTGTGTTGAATTAAATGTTCTGAATGAGTAAAGTTAAAACAAGCAGAGCAGAAAAACAGTAAAACAAACAAAAAGCATCAAGGATGTGAAAGTTTAATAAAATCCTAATCCATGAACTGTTTATAAATCTGTGACATTTCCTGTTTACTTAGCAGTGAACTGGACTCAGGAGAGTTTATTTTTACATCCTGTTTGTTGSCTGCATTAGCAACAAAATAACAGTTTATAGTTACTTAATGTTGCCCTTAAATGTGTATTTCTGTAAAACCCAGAAAAAAAAAATACAAAAATGCACCCTAACATACCTATTTGGTATATATTCTGCTTGTTTTAAAGCTCTTTACTTAGCTAAAAAAATATCATCTGCTTAAAGATATACATTGAAAGTAATTTAATGCCACTTTGCTGATTCACGAGGTATTCTTCCTTTCCCAAAGAAAATATTGTTTTTATTTAGTTCTTCTCGTGTCTGCTGTAAACATTAAACAGCTAGCAAAAATGCTAACTCTTTTATTAAAAAGGTATTATTGTGACTCAATAGAAAAGTATTGCTCCCAAACAAATATAACGATTACTTTACTGGACAACCCCAGCTTACTAGAATATATAAAGTACTTGCAATGCATGGTATTATTTGTTTTTATTTCACCTGATGATATAAACAGCAAGCTACATGCTAATTTGGGCTAAGGCTAAAAACTATGCTAACAACTTCCGCTAACGCGGTACTCTGCCGATTTCCTTTGAATTCAGACAGTGAATGAGTCTTACACATGTATTAGTACTACTGGCGACATACATACACAATATTAATAATACATAACTCTTTTAGTCCACATCGGCTACTCAGCTAGCTACTATCGTTAGCCATCATTCAGATGCAGCCGTGCAGCCGGCGGGTGTTTATTTGCAGTTTCTTCGTAGCAAACTCACCATGAGAGAAGTTTCCCTTTTCGTTTTTACAGTATCCACAGCGGTAAGCATCATCTCCACCAAAATATTCCACTATACTGTAAGACATGCTCCCGGCCATTTCTTCTGACACAAATGACAGCTGGGTAAATGCCACTTGAAAGGAGGATGAGTCTCCGCCCACCGAAAATACGTCACCGGTGGTGCGTTGCAGAGCAGTGGGACATTTGAAAACTGGAARTATCAACAGTTCTCCAGCTTTTTTGGCTTCTGAGCCACAAAATAAAAGCAGCAGAACCTTGTGACACCGAWTAACACCAGCTTAAGAGCACAAAACTTTGTAAATAATACTCTTAAATAAGAGAACACCATTACACACTTATATTTTGTTTTGATATATAAATAAATATGCCAACATATTTAAATGCAATTTGATTTCWGCAAACATTTTGTCGACACCAATTTGTGTTATGACTCACAGCTGGAACTGATGTTGTGTATTGTTTACTAATAAATTACATTAAAAAAACAGCATTATTGGATTAAAAAAAGCTTTTTCCATTTAATCAAAAACAGACTTTGTTCACATAAATACTGTAAAAACACGTATTTAAAAGAAATAGTTCATTTTAATTACCAGTAATGCCTGCTTTCAGTACATAAAAACATTTAAGTATAAACCACAAGTTTAGGATTTAAGAACTGTACACTTTATTTAACAGTATGTGCAAAGARGGGGGAAAGTACCCAAATCAAAGACAAACACCAGTTTCTGTAACAAAACAAAGGGAATAGTTTGAATGTAGAAAAATAAATTAGAAAAATCACAATTGGGCCAAGGATTCATGTTCTTACAGTTTTTAGGATGGTTGATAAATTATTTAATAACCGCTCAGTTTCTATGGGGGTGTTTGTGTGTCCGTGCACAGGTTCACATAAAAGTAGCTTCCAATTCAGCGTTTACGTTCCACATGTGCTAAAGCAGAAACTATCCTGTGAAAAAGCTACTGAGACACAAACCTCTAAAAAAAACTCTTGATACACGCCTCTCACAGTGGCTCCGTTGATTCCAGGACTTAGTTAAAGGTTCCCTGATGGACAGGGATGTTTTCATGAAGATATTTCATGCTGCCTTGTTCAGAGAAGTCAGCCACGGTGTGTCCCTCTCCTCGAAGGACCCATTTGGTCGTAAGAAGTCCCTCCAAACCAACAGGACCTCTGGCGTGGATTCTAGCTGTGCTGATGCCGACCTCAGCTCCTGAACAGAAACAAAAAATAAACCTTCAGTCGTATGTACGGGATAAATCTTGTGCCAGCAGGAATTGAATCTGAATGTACATAAGTTAAAATTGAATGCATTGGTTTGAAAATGAATTTTACTAAATTGAAACTGAATTTAAAGTTTTGTATCTGAATTAATCAGTGTGCATTGCCAATGCAATGCACACTATTGTGATTCATTTCCCATCCAAGTCATCTCCACTTTAGCACGCTTCTCCTCCTGCATACTTTGTCCTAGARCTGCCATTGTAATTTGTAYCTGTTAAGCTCCTGTGACAAATGATGGCTATGCCTTTTGGTACCTGTACAACTTATAGTTTTTGAAATATTAATCTTTAATAATTTATAATGGGAGTTAATGGAGCCTTGTATTGGTCCAATACTGCCCCCTGCTGTACCTACTCAGTACTGCACCATAGTTTAATAATATTTAAACTCAGTAGTTCAGTGTTTACAAAACTAATATGTTAGTAT